TTCCCTGGCACAGAAGTTAAACTAACTGGTCTGTAGTTTCCTGGGTTGTTCTTATTTCCCTTTTTATAAATGGGCACTATATTTGCCCTTTTCCAGTCTTCTGGAATCTCTCCTGTCTCCCATGATTTTCCAAAGATGATAACTAGGGGCTCCTCAGATACCTCCTCTATCAGCTCCTTGAGTATTCTAGGATGCATTTCATCAGGCCCTGGTGACTTGCAGGCATTTAACTTTTCTAGGTGATTTTTAACTTGTTCTTTTTAAATTTTATCTTCTAAACCTCCCCCCTTCCCACTAGCATTCACTTTGTTAGGCATTCCTTCAGACTTCTCAGTGAAGACCGAAACAAAGAATCATTAAGCGTCTCTGCCATTTCCAAGTTTCCTGTTACTGTTTCTCCCTCCTCAATGACCAATGGGCCTACCCTGTCCTTAGTCGCCTTCTTGCTTCTAATGTATTTATCTCATGTATCATCACATGATCCTTCTCCTGTCATCCATTTCCAGCCTCTGACAAACAGAAGCTAGGGACACCCTTCCCGGCTAACAACCATCAATGGACCTTGTAGGAGAAAGAAAGAGCCTGAAGCATGGGCCTGGTGTTTGAACTAAAGTAAGAGTTATACTGTGCGTAACAGACAGGCCGTGTCAAAAACAAACGTTTGCCTGCAAGTCAGTGTCTCTCAGCACTAGAACTACTAGCTTGGATAGAAGCACATGAAGTATGTAAATACATGCCATCAGGACAGTACAAGGACAACTAACAGAGTACATGATAAAATAGTTTGAAACAAGAGTGAAAGCAAAACATTGGGCAGTGAATGCTTTGGAGGAAAGTACAAGGGAGGGGAGGTACCAAACATATAATTAGTGTGCAAGACGATACGTACAGTGTGTATCAGATTGTTCATTTCTGTCTATAAATATTGGGGTACCTCACTTACCTCCTAGGTTGGCCAAAGGGTTGATAGAGAAATCCATATTATTGACTGAGCTACGTCCATTGTCTCGGGTACAAATACTTAGGGGCTTGGATGACATCTGGCTACTGACACCTATTAATGTACTTCGATTGACAATAAACCTGACTCGGGTGCCTTTGTATCTTATCCAAGTATGTAGTCTTTGGGGCTCTTGTGAAGTCTAATGTGCTAGCTATCTGTGCAGAGCTGGCATGATATACTGAAGGAACATACGAAAATGCACACAGCCGAACATTTATCATCACTGACAGAGCAGGAGACCTGTCAGGATGCCACACCAGTGAATCCTGAATTTACTGTTTCGCTGTCCTGAACTACTTCAAACCTAATCTCCATGAATTTATCTAGTTTTTATGAACTCTGTTAATGTCCTGGTCTTCACAACATCCTCTGGCAAAGAGTTCCATAGGCTGATTGTGTGCTGCGTGAAGAAAAACTTCCTATTGTTTGTTTTAAACCTGCTACCTATTAATTTCATGTGGTGACCTCTAGTTCTTATGTTATGGGAACAAGTAAATAACTATTCCTTATTTACTTTTTCCATACCACTCGCGATTTTATAGACTTCTATCATATCACCCCTTAGTTGTTTCTTTTCTAAACTGAAAAGTCCCAGTCTCTCTTCATATGGTACCTGTTCCAAACGCATAATCATTTCATTGCCCTTTTCTGAACCTTTTCCAATGCCAATATATCTTTTTTGAGATGAGGTGACCACATCTGTACTCAGTATTCAAGACGTGGGCATACCATGGTTTTATATAGAAGCTAAATTAGTCCCCATCATATTGTATGTATAGTTGGGATTATTTTTTCCAGCGTGCATTACTTTGCATTTATCAACATTAAATTTCATTTTCCATTTTGTTGCCCAATCACTTCATTTTGGGAGATCTTTTTGAAGCTAACTATACTTAAACTCCTTTTGATCACAACAAATGGTGTCTTGTTAGCACAATTATTTATTTCAGATATTTTGGTATGAATTTGATTGAGAACTCATTTATTATTTTATTCAGCACAATTTTCCATTTTGTTACCTGGCCAGTTTTTAATAAAAATAAATAAATCAGCAATATTTTTGTGACACATATGTTGATCTCCTTGAATACTTCCACTTTTTATGCAAGGATGAAAAAAGCAGTCTTTATCGCAGACAGCAGGTCACCTTCAGGAATGACTCTGATACTTACCAATAAGGTTCTGGCTACACTACAACCCAGTGTACCAGCTCCTAGCAGCAGACATTTAGCAGACACAACCTTCTCCAGCTCAAGAGTAGGCACCAATCGCCAGCACATCAATTTAAGATTAAGATCTACAGATGACTCAGCTAACCTATGTAGTGAAATAAAAACAAACATCATTCCTGAATACTTTCTAATGCAATATTGACCTTCTGTTCTAACTAGAGCACTGCACCATGCAATTTGTTCTTACATATCTTGGCCTTTGTACAGAATTCTTAAAAGAACCATGCATAAATTCTACTAAACTCTTTGTAGATCAGATATATAGTAAATAACAGAAGGTAAAGATGAGGTGTCATGCCAAGAGCATTATTTCCGTACACAAATTCTGACATTCTATTCTATTTCCATCACATATAACAATAAATATGCCAAAAATTGTAACACAATAAACTTTTATTAAAATGTTTACTGGGTTCTGACAAATCATAGAATACAAGAACTGGAAGGGACCTCGAGAAGTCATTAAGTCCAGTCCCCTGCCTTCACAGCAGGACCCAGTATCATCTAGACCATCCCTGATAGATGTCTATCTAGCCTGCTCTTAATTATCTCCAGAGATGGAGATTCCACAACCTCCTTAGGCGACTTATACCAGTGTTTAATCATTCTGACGGTTAGGAAGTTTTTCCTAATGTCCAAACTAAATCTCCCTTCTTGTCCTATCCTCAGAGGCTAAGGAGAACAATTTTTCTCCCTCCTCCTTTAGATACCTGAAAACTGCTATCGTCTCCTTTCCAAAGTCTTCTCCTTTCCAAACTAAAGAAGCCCAATTCTTTCAGTCTTCCTTCATAGGTCACGTTCTCTACACCTTTAATCATTCTTGTTGCTCTTCTCTGGACCTTCTCTAATTTCTTCACATCTTTCTTAAAATGTGGTGCCCAGAACTGGACACAATATTCCAACTGAGGCCTAATCAGCGCAGATTAGAGCTGAAGAATAACTTCTCATGTCTTGCTCTCAACACTCCTGTTAATGCATCCCAGAATCATGTTTGCTTTTTTTGAAGCAGCATCACACTGTTATCTCATATTTAGCTTGTAGTCCACTATGACCCCTAGATCCCGTTCTGCAGCACTCCGTCCTAGACAGTCGCTTCCCATTCTGTATGTGTGAGACTGTTCTTTCCTAAGATTAAACTTCATCCTATTTACCTCAGACCATTTCTCCAGTTTGTAGATTGTATGAAGCTGGGAGGAGTTGCAGCTGCTTTGGAGGATAAGGTCATAATTCAAAATGATCTGGACAAACTTAATAAGCACACTCTCTATGCCAATATCTAAACTGTTGAAGAAGATATTAAACAGAACCAGTCCCAATGATTTAGCAAAGATGTTCAAACAAGAACAAGACAATTAGTAATTACCTATTTTAAAAATTTACCCTCTGGGTACTTGACAAGATTGCTATAAACGTTGGATGGAGAGGGAGCTGGGAACCAGAGTTTGTCAGGCCAAAGAAGCCTAGTTTTGGCCTCCAGACTCTCCTGGAGGGATGCCAGCCTCCTGACGACTGTGCTCCCCTTCCAGCTGCACGCCCTACCTAGAGATGTGAACATCTAGTCGACTATCCAATAAGTAAATGCTTATCGGACAGTCGACACGCTAGTCGCTCCCTACCTGCTTCCTGGGGGAGGAAGGAGTGCTTCAAAGCATCAGCGTCGCTTGGAGCCCAGGGCCAGCTGGGGACTCCCCCCACTGACCCCAGGTCCCATGCGGTGCTGCCACTTTGAAACACCCCATGAAGCCCCATGGCATTTAAAAGCAGCAGTGCCACAGGGAGCCCAGAGTCAGCTGGGGACCACTTTGACATGCTGTGAGGAGCATAGGGTCCCCCGCCGCTCGAGTCCTCCGCTGCCCCCAGCTAATGACCACACTCTGGCTCTTGCAACTGTCTCAGTCCTATAGTCGGTCCCAGTCCTGCTCCTGGACAATGCTCCCTGCCACTCAGCGCACACTCTCCTCATGCTACTCGGCTCCCACAACTAGCCACCAGACTCCCAGACAGCCCACACACCCTCTCTGACCAATAACATCCTTCTGGAACATGGATGTTGCCAGACCAGAGAGGTGCTATCTGTACTTTATGCTAGGAAATATCAAATACTCCAGAGGCCCATAAGTAATAAACCAAAAAAAGGCAGAATTGCATTTAGTCTCAGAAGGGACAATTTATCTCATCCAGTCTGACCTCCTCAATAGCACAGGCCATTACATTTCACTCAAATTCTCTTATATTACTAATTAGGCTCAGGCATTGAAATCCTCAGGAGACTAAACTTATGTTTGTCACAGACAGAAAACAGAAGAGACCATGGGCAGGGAAATGATGAGGTGAGAGATGGCCAGATGATTTTAGCAGGCAATCCACACCCCATGGTACAGGGGAAGTCAGGGGGGGGAAGGATTTAATTACTCTGGGTTAAGTCCAAACCCCATTGAAGTTAATGGAACTGGATTAGGCTCGTAAAGCCTGTCCGATAAGATGCTGACCCACATTTTAAATTTCCAAAGTGAACAGCCTCTGACCTAAGTTTGAAAATGAAAAGTGGCCTTTCACCTAGATTCCACAAATGCCACAGGTAATTTGTCCCATTTCTATGTCTTCTACTTTGTTAAATTCTGTCTTTGGAGCCTCTTAGTCAAACACCCTCAGACTCCTCCAGATTGCAAGTATTGGTTGCTGTGTGGAAGCTCTGAATGATAACAAAGAAGTTAACCAGTTTCATTTTCAGTCTATGTTGGATTTGCTGGCTGGTAAATGCGTCAGGGCTTTTAAAATTCTGATCAGAGTAGATAAGAACAGTCTGTCCATGATAGGGATAAATGACAATCTTACAGGAGCCTTCTTTCTGTCAGAACCAACCCGCTTTACACTTAGCATGGTCCCCTATTTCAGTCTCATGTTAAGTCTTGATTTGATTTGTTTTTATCACTTTTTTTTTTTTTTTTTTGCAGAGGACTTCACTGCATTACATCTAGTCATTGTGTACAGCTATGCAGTATACATTCATTTTTTGGTCTCTACCAGCTTCTCAAGAACGTGTTACACATAGAAATACAGATTAAAATTAACTTATCTAGATTTTCAAGTTAGTGAAAGCACATATTCCTAGATACTGTGAGAAGCTCCATGTCTTCAATGGGACTTTTCCTTCGAGTATATATTGCACCTAGTAAAAATAGCAGGCAGGACTGAGTACTAACATCGACATAACTATATTTTCTTACCTAACAAAACACATTTGAGATCCAGGTTTTCTTTGGACCTTATATTTTCTCCTCCTCCCCTCCCCCGGCAGAAGCCTGACATATTTCAGGTCTGATCAGAGTATAAATTTTTGTAAACCATCACATACCTTTTAGGATCCATACATTCACTGAGATTCACCATTCTTGGACCCATGCCTCCTTTTGGGTTTTTCTCCCATCCAACAGCTTTTGGACAATCTACTTTCCATTAAATAAATGAATGAACGAATAAACAAACAAACATTTCCATGATATTAAAAACCTAAATTTCACCTTGACAAAAAAAAACCTCACTTTTCCCAAAACTGCCAGTTTATCAAGGGTGTTAACTAACAGAACTCTTCACTACAATAGTTATTCTATTATATAGCAAAAATGTGGTAGACTGTATCCCCTTTTCCATATTATGTGCTGGTTTTTCTTTATTTTAGTTTTGAAAGCAAGTTAGCAGAAAAGTCTTAGCTAATGGGCTTTCAAACATAACGGCTACGTCTACACTGGCCCCTTTTACGAAAGGGGCATGCTAATTTTAAACTTCGTAATAGGGAAATCCGCGGGGGATTTAAATATCCCCCGCGGGATTTAAATAAAGATGTCCGCCGCTTTTTTCCGGCTTGGGGAAAAGCCGGAAAAAAGCGTCTAGACTGGCCCGATCCTCCGGAATAAAGCCCTTTTCTGGAGGATCTCTTATTCCTACTTTGAACACTTGTGTTCTATTCCCAGCTCTGACACAGACCAGCTAAGGTTCTGATTCTGCAACGAGTTACACTCATCTTTACAGAGGTGCATATGCAGATTTTCTGAAGACTCTGGAATCTGCTTAAGCAATCTTGAGCAAGTCATTTCATTTCTCCATGCCTTGGTACCCTTATCTGTAAATTAGTATAATACCATTTGTGGACCTTGCATGGAGGTTAATTTTGCTTCACCACTATCATTGGTGAAGTATTATTAGACCCTCAGATAAAAAGAACCTATAAGAAGTTTCCTTCCGTTCTGATGAAATATTGTCTATAGCAACTGAATCCTGTTTTTTATGCTAGAGAGGTTTCCAAAATTTACAATGCATTGCTCTTATTTCCTGCAGGTCTTAATACCACAAGAAACAGATTTTTAAAAAATACCCCAACCATACCAAAATTGTGATTTTTAGAAATTAATGCTGTACTCTCATAAGTACCTTATTTCATGCATTATGAAATGACAATATTAATGTGTGTGTTTTGGTGGCATAGTGATTAAATACTGCTAATAAGAAATGACAACATACATTAATAACATAAGCACTATGACAAATTACCTGTTGCTGTATCATGCCTGTAATTAGAATGAGAGCATAAAGACACACTTGGTGACTAGGCCAAACTATCTTACTCTCAAAGTAAATTATCCTCTTTCCTTCTAGAAGATAAAACTGTTTTCTTTACAAAGACATCTGAATAATTTAAAATGCACAATATTTGAGGTGGCTGTTAACATTAATAACAAGTTATCTGCACTAATTTTTCTTCCATCTTCATAGTGATTATAAAGAAGTCAAGTAACATTAGTTTCTATATTCTGAAAGCCATCCTTTGACAGTGGATTACCTGAGCTCTGTGACATCTGTGGAAGCTTTATTTCAAAGATGATGCTGTGTGTTATCTCTCTCACGCCTTGCATGGTCCTGTCTCTGAAGCACAGCACTTCAATTGAATGCACATGCTCACCCCTGGCATTATAAATAAATAAATAAATAAATAAATAAATAAAGGTTCTAAAGCAAAAGATCTTGAACTCTTCCAGCAGAAAAGAAGGGTGCTCAAGCAGGAACTTCACTTAATTAGTTCTCTGATGTCATCCAACTTTAATCTTTTGGAAATGAAGACTATGACAAATCTTCCATTGGTACTGAATTCATATACAGGCAGTCCCCGGGTTATGTACAAGATAGGGACTGTAGGTTTGTTCTTAAGTTGAATTTGTATGCAAGTCAGAACTGGCGTCCAGATTCAGCCGCGGTTGAAACTGATCAGTTTCAGCAGCGGCTGGCGCCAGGTTCCACCTTCATACAAGATTCAACTTAAGAACAAATCTACAGTCCCTATCTTGTACGTAACCCGGGGACTGCCTGTATATATATATTTAGGGCTGTCAATTGACATACGTTAACACCTGCGATTAACACAGTCCAAGTTTAATGCATTACATTTTGTAACACGTTAATCGCAGGCGTTAATGCTGCACTGCCCCTCTGAAGTACTGCTGTGGTGCTTCAAAGGGGCAGCTCAATGTTGAGCCTGGGGTCAGCTGTAGAGTCCCCAGCTGACTCCGGGCTCCACTGCCCCTTTGAAATGTGCAGAGGCGGCGTTTCAAAGGGCCAGCCGCCTCACAGCTGATCTGGGGCTCCCCCGCTGACCCCAGGTTCCGCTGGCTGCTCCGCGTCTCCCTGGTCTGCTGGGGAGACCCCCCACCCCCAGCAGACCAGGGAGATGCGGAGCAGCTTTTCTTGCTGCGGAGGACACGGGCGACGGGACTACGGCGCGTCTGGGCGGTCCCGCCGCCCGCGTCCTCCGCGGCGAGAAAAGCCCCGTTCGTATGTAGGGATCCGACGTAAGTCAGATCCACGTAACTCGGGGACTGCCTGTATAATAATGTATCTATTTCTATCTGATCAAATATGAAGAAACAGAACATGATTAAGGAACACTCAAAGCAGTCAATTATTATATGGAAACTGTGCGCGTCTGGGCGGTCCCGCCGCCCGCGTCCTCCGCGGCGAGAAAAGCCCCGTTCGTATGTAGGGATCCGACGTAAGTCAGATCCACGTAACTCGGGGACTGCCTGTATAATAATGTATCTATTTCTATCTGATCAAATATGAAGAAACAGAACATGATTAAGGAACACTCAAAGCAGTCAATTATTATATGGAAACTGTGGTGCAACTCCACTGAAATTGCACTTGGCACTTCCCCACTGTGAACAGCTCATCTGCACGGTGTTACTGGGAACTAAAAGCACCATATGTTTTGAGGCATAATGGACAGAGAAGTCCTAGAGTACAATGTAATACAGCTGCAATGCCAAAGCAGCAGGAGGTGCCATCCTACCTCCTCCACGCTTAGCATGCTCCTCAGAATCCCTAATCAGTTTTCATCTCCTTCCCCTTCACCAACTTAGCACCCATTATTCATCTTCACTCACTGTTGAGCATCAAATCACAGAATTTGGGATTCTCACATTTTGAAATTTCATCTTAAATTATTGAATCACACAACTCAATGTTTGACAGATAGTGTTTTGTAATGCAAAAGATGACGGTGTGCAATAAAACAAAAAAAAGTTCAACTATGCAATGCAGAAGACTTTGAGAGTATGAGTTCTTCAGACTTTGGATCTCAAGAACTCATTTGGTCATTTGGCAGTTGTATTCTCTGGAGCAAGACAGCTTTTCAAGGGCACTTACACATATTACCATCCTCAGTTAGTCTGCACTACTCAACAAATAAATCCAGAGATTATAAACTGGCTTTCAGATGTTGCTTCTACTCACATAGAAATGTGCTATATGCTGAAGTGGCAGTAGCTGCTCCTTACTTTAAGTTGAAGCTGGGTTTCCTTTTGAAATCCAGTTGTTGACCATCCTCTGCTCCAAATTTCCCCTCTTTTTTTTTTAAAACACTTTTACCAAACTTTTCAGAAACAACTTCTGTTATGGATGTAATGGCTACATTTCAGAAAAATTTTGAGAGGAATTTGGAGTATAGATAATTTGAAAATGGGGCTCAAAATCTAGAAACTAGCAATTAAGAATGTGGCAGGCAGAGGTAAGTAGTGAAGAACTATATGGAAGTAGCAACAGGCTGGGTACCTTGCCTTTGCCCACTAAAATAACAAACTTTGAAGATAAGGAATTCTAATTCCTATTCAAAGGATCCATTTTTAATGAACTCATAGTAATTTTTTGTTTTCATCTTTGCATAGATTTTTGTATGTACCAGGGACAAAGTTAAGGCTCTTTCTGTATTATGTAAGTCAGCTGGGCTAACAAAAGTGCTCAGTCTAATAAGACATAAAACCAATACCATCTGTATGCTGCCAGGACCAGTAAATTCCTCAGTGGCCATCCTGGATACTGGGTAAAATTGCAGGGATCATAAACTCCAACGGTCACCTACAAACAAAATAGCTCCACTGAACACCTCATGCATAACAGCACAAGATTCACAGTAATAGCCATCAGCACACCTTTTTATCTTAAATGCTATGTCAGTAAGAAATCACATATTGTATTTAAAAATAATGATCAACTCCTACCAATCAGTGATGCATTGTATGCCATTTCATGCACTTTAATAACTCCCACAGCTTCCAGTTTTGTTCATTTTGGCTACCTAACATTCACTTGTACTTCACTGTACAACATGCATTTCCTTAACTACTAAAGCTTAAAAAACATGTTTACAAAACCTGGAGATGCCTACTGTGTGATCAGATTCCCTGGATTCCTAAGCAAACATCCCTGTTGATGAATGGTCACAGTATAAAAAATTCCAATCTCATCTAATCCACATTTAGCCTGCATCACATCTACTTAACTTTACACTATTCAAATGCATTTTTTTCCTGGCAAAGTTTAAAAAGGAGCCAGTTTTTCTTGCATTATAGCTGGTACTCTGGAAAATACAGGCTGACTATATTAATATGTTTATTAATTTATAATGGCTACTATATATTTTGTTTTGTAGAAGGCCACTATATACATTTCCAGGTGTACTTAAAGCTAATGTGATAACTGTAAAACTGAATTATTCTATATTCGTTGGAAAATATATGCAAACAAACAATATAAGTGGGCTTTGTACTTATAGAATGCTATATTTGTTCAAAATTATTAATAAATATTAACTCATCCTCATGACAACCCCATAAAATAAGTAAGTTTTATTATCTCTCTCACATGTGTAGAGAGAGCTCAAAGACCAAATTTTCAAACCGTCAACTAATTTAAGATGCCTATACTTCTGGATACCAAGTTTGAGATGCCTAAAACTACACTCCCTGAAGTCCAGGTGTAATCAATGGAAGCAGCTGGTGTTCAGACACTTACTGGACTTATTCTTTGCAGACAAGAACTGTATCTCAGTATAGTATTCCAGCCAGAGCTCAAACAATATGTACATTCAGCACAAATATTTCTGGCATAAATGCAAAATTCCCTTTACCTTCTCCTCTTGATCTTGGAAAAAATCATTCCAGTTTTTAAGCAGTGACACCCAAACAGACTTGTCATTATACTTGATTACAAAGTAAGGCAAGGCTGTAACTCCTTCCATCTGGCAAAGTTCATCATAAGCTTTCTGGAGCGCCTGAATCTGCAAATGAAAAGAAAATATAACAGATGGTTGGAATTATCCTAACGCAACAATGCTTATGTGATTCAAAAAATATTTTCTTAGCTGATTATGGAATACTTTAACTTTTTTCTTTGTTAGCCATTTATTAAGTACAGGCAGTCCCCGGGTTACGTACAAGATAGGGACTGTAGGTTTGTTCTTAAGTTGAATCTGTATGTAAGTCGGAACCGGCGTCCAGATTCAGCCGCTGCTGAAACTGACCGCCAGTTCTGACTTACATACAGATTCAACTTAAGAACCCCAAGCTTCCCCAAGTCAGCTCTGATCAGTGGCTGATTCCAGGAAGCCTGGGGCAGAGCAACTCTGCC